TTTTCTGATGCCTCCCAGCTTAAAAAAAAACCCTAATTATTTTGTGATTGTTGGCCTAATTTAAACGGGACACTAATAAATATGTTGTATGTAAACCCAGAGTTGCCTTGGGTGAGATGGGCAACTATATAAATTTGATAAATAAGTAAATAATATGGACTTCACTTGCTATCTCTGTCTTAGCAGAAATACCGTGCAGAGATCTGCTGCACATCATGTAGCCCAGGTAGGAGGGCTAATTACTTATAAAACACCCTCGGAGGCATACATGTTTCCCTGCAGCTCATCTGAGAAAATTTCTTTCTTGAAGATATGAAAATTAGAAACAGCTTGATCAAAATCACTTGTGGATATGGGAGAAGAAGTAAACAGCGTGGCATTATATGGCAGAAAGGCAGGGATCCCATTGGAGCTTCATGCCACTTCCAAACTAGAAAAGACAATAAATTTATGTCATTGCATCCCTAAACACTTTGCTCTGCTATTGTAATGGCAGTTCTGAAACAAGGGAGCATAACGCAAGGCTTCACATCTGTTTGGTTCCCCAAAGCTTTTAGCTAATAATACCAAACATTAAAATCTGACTATCTTCCACTTGTGAATCTATTTACCTCTTAAAAAAAATATTCCAAAGAACCTTTATCTTAATCCCCAAGAAACACTTTTCATAGCTTTTAAAATAATCGTTTCACTTATTTGCAACAAATCTTATGTTTACATGACTTACTATATTCTTTAAATCAGAGCTCCCCAACCTTTTGGGCACCAGGGACCAGTTCCATGGAGAGAGGTTTTTCCGCAGACCAGAGGGGGCGTGGTTTTGTGTGTTGCCTGCATCCCGCGGATAGTGCTTTGCTTGTTTGTGTGAACCAGTTGCTGGCATGCCACGGCCCGGTACCAGTCCACGGACCGGGGGTTGGGGACCCCTGCTTTAAATAACATGTACTTATAAGCATTTATATATTACATGTCTCTGTTACATTCCTAAAAAGATATTCTTGCACAACATTATTTGTGTGATTGTTAAAACTGTTATCTAATTGAAGTGGAATTTCCTTATTCCTATGAAATTAGAGTGGAGGGGAGACACTTGTGGGTTATGGAACACTCCAAAGTAGAGAAACAGCCAATAGGAAAGTAACCAAGTGCCATGCTCTAATTGCTTTTCCTTGGGAAAAACAACCACATTTGATATGCATATTTCTACATAATGTGGAAAGCTCTTGATTTAAACCTCATCTTGGATAATACTGCTCTAATATCCTGGACATTGCAAAAATTTAGAGGGTGTTATATATGCAGCGCTCTGATTTACAACAAACAGTTCTCGGTAAACATTAAATAGAAGAACTATTCTGAGTTACTAAAACTGACAACTAATTCACACATCATCTCTCTCCTAATCCATGAGTCTAAAACCAGCACAGCTGTTTTTATTTTAAACAATTATGTCTTGCTTTGACACTAGCTATGAAAGTGGATTGTAATGAACAATACAATGACAAAAATCAAATCAAGTCAAACTTTATTATGCTAATAAACCAACATTAGGAATGGGAAGGTAATATAATTAATAAAAGAAGGTGTACGAGCATAAAGGATATAAAAAGTGTACGAGGCCTAAAAGATGACAACAAAAAGAAAATAAATTAAATGTTCATAACCTACCAGGCCATAAAATGTTCTATGGTGCCAAACCTTAGAGTTGAGTGCTAATCATGAGCCAGAAGTCATTATCTGGGGAAGGTTCAACACGGCTGCACAGAGCCTAGCAACATGGCATGTTGTACTTGGATTGACGCCTGAAAGCAGTAGTCCAGTGATGGCGAACCTATGGCACGCGTGCTAGAGGCGGCACTCAGAGCCCTCTCTGTGGGCACACCTGCCGCCACCACCGCTAGCTCGCGCAGGTCCATTAGGCCAACGCTGGCGCCCAGAGCGGCAGCCCTACCCAGCACAAAGGAGGCGAAGCAGCTGGTTAGTAAGCTCAAGTAGAGGTGTTAGAGCACGCCCCCATGTGCTCGCTGGCCTCTGTGTGCGGGGGCCGATGGTGTCAGGGAGCAGCTGCCCCTGCCTCGCCTTGCCCCGCAGCAATGGCACCCCCGCCCTACCCCCTGCCTCACCCCGCAGGATGAGCCTCCTGCCCACCACCCCACCCACCAGAGACCCCCTGGATCTCCCCCAATCCTGCCCAGCCCCCCAGAGGCATCCCCCCATGAGCAACATCAAGGTGGCCATGCTCACCCCGGCCATGCCCACTCTGTCTGCTGTGAGCACCGCAGCCACGCCCACCCCGTGGGCCACGCCCCCCAAGGGCGCCACAATGCTGATGTGGCCTTGGCACTTTGCAATAAATATAAGTGGGTTTTGGGCTGCGGTTTTGGCACTCGGTCTGTAAAAGGTTTGCCATCACTGCAGTAGGCAGTTTATCCATAGAATACTGCATATCAAACCAGAGCACACTAGAATTAAAAGCAGGTGTAAATACAGAAATCCCTGTAGAAGATCCTTGTCATCAAAGAGGAAAAGGTGAGCCTGTGGTGCAACTACTAAGAAGTCCCTGCCATCCTCCAATCAAATATAGAATGGCCCTAGAGCAGGGCCTTAACTCACTTTGGGTTTGAGCTTAAGGGCAAAGGCAGATCAGTAGCTTTCATGCTCACGCGAGAAAAATGCATCCTGGTATATAGACAGTATTGCATTACAGGCTCATAGGACTTTGTGCTTTGGAAGTTGGTTTGTGGAACGGCCATGCTTCTGTGGCAGGAGAGCAGGTATTCACGCTCTGAATTCTCAGTGCCAGACCCATGAGTTAGACTTCCCATGGCTGAAAAAAGTTCTACTCATGCATTGCCATTTAATCACATCAGTAAAGGCCCAATTATTTCTATACCGACCGAAGGATCACAAACTGCTCTGGATGTACACTATTCTTGCCTGTATCAGTGGGTGCTGGTTTGACTACTATAGGTTCCAATTACTGTGACCCACTTTGTGGATTCATCATGATCAATAGGTGGTCTACAAATGCCTTAAGCAAATTAATTTACTGGATGAGTGTGTTGTTTCCAGGTGCTATGAAGGGGAAGGAGCAAAAATTATCAGCCGCAGGTACTCCTTTTGCTAAATCTGAACTGTCTGCTCTGGATTAATCACATCCTGACAATTTCGGAAAGCTCCAGTTGCCTTCTAGCGAAAGAGGATCTTTTGTCTGCTCCCGGCTTTCTGGTTGCCCTTTTCCATCGCTCAGAGAATCCTGGAGAATGGGAAGTTCTGGTGTCTGGCGGGAAGCTGCTCCCTCCCGCCACCGTTAAACTCTAGCAATCCAAGCCAAGGGCTTTTTGCTTCTTGGGGTAACTGGAGCAGCCCCCTCTTAATCCCAGCCGAGCTCTGGCAGTATCTGGTGCCAAAAGCTTGGCCTGTTGTTGCAAAGTACCCAGCAAAGAATAGCTTGTTTGTCTGGAGCACCGCAGTCCCATTCAAAAGCCCTTTAAACCAGATTAGAGAAGGATTGAAGGCATTAGTTCATGGATGCCTTGGAGTTTATGCTGGATGAACACAGGGCATTGCTCAACTGCCCATGGGAACTGAGCATAGCTTTCCAGCCAGGACGTCTGAACTCTGGGCACATGGGGGATTTTGTCAGCCACGGGAAGGGGGCTCTTGGGTTAGGAGACAACAAGGCCCTGAAGATCCAGGGATCCCTGGAGGGCGTTAATGATTAGCTGCCTTTTTAGTCCTAACTGGACTGTGCCAGGTGCTGTAAACAAGCCAGAGCAGTGCTGGCACATTCTCCCTCATCCCTCCCTATTTTCTTGGACAGGGACTGGGGGGGGAGGAAGGGGAGGGTGGGGGAGAGATACTGGCTGAATCAGTAGGAGAGAGTTGCTGCTGGCTTGAACACAAGCCCTGTCAGTGGGATGGAATGCAAAGAACTGTGTCCACGAGATCAGGACTGAAAGGCATCCAGTCCCCTGTGCTCAGCAAACCTCAGCCCCTCCGCCTTGGTAGCCCAAGGAACATACTGTAACCTTCCTTGCTTTCCCATGCACGCTGCCACTTTTGACCTTACTGACATGCATGCACGCTCATGGGCTTTTGGCTTTGGATGTCATCCTGCTACTACTGCTACCGGTAGCGTACCAAGATTGCATACCGGTAGCTCTACTACCCTCTGCTGGTTCCCCCAAGCAGCATCACTTCTGTATACCCCTCACGTAAACTTACTTTTTAAACATATTTAATGTAGTTTATTTTCTACGCCCTCTGTCCATAGACACTCAGTTTACCATGCACACACCACACGACTAACTTACCATCCAGAGCACTGCAATTCTTCCAGTCCCTGGCAAGGGGAGTGTGTCAATCAATACAGTGGGCCAAGGTGCCTTTCCAGAAAAATGAGGTGGCCTTCCTGGTTGCAGATGAGCTTTGTCAATTGCTAGATCCTCTGTAAAGAAAGCTTCAAGCTTTATTTTTTTTTATATGTACTCTTTTACTTGCCTGCATATTATTCTCTGGCAAACGTGCGCTCGCCTGTGAGTGAGGTATGTAAGTCTCTGCAAGGTGAGACCATATTGTGGTTCTGAGGCGACGAGGCAAGACAGTCCTTGTGCTCACATCTCTAAGCACTCCGCAGTGGAACCAAATCCAGCCCAGAAATAACTCCCCTTCCCCCAACAGGCTCCAGTTACAATGGCTGGCATCTGAAGCAGCCCCCTAAAGTTGGGTGGTCCTCCACTCCCCCTGGCTCCAGTGAGGGAGGCCCCAGAACCAACCAGAGAGAGTCAAAACACTACTAAGTCCTTAACACCTGACCTGGGAGGAGGCTCAGCAGCCATGTTTATTCCTGACAGGTCCCTTCCAGTCCATGATTTGCTGGCACTAGACTGACTATCTGGATGTAGCCCAGCAAACCCTGTCCCCGCCTGCGTCATCAACCTTGGAGACTTGCTCCTGAAGCTTGGAACTAACAGTTGAGCAGTGAGGAGCATGCGAGCATAAGTAACTTTGCTTTCCCCCTTCCTAATTCTTTGCAGGACACCTGATAAAACAGCATCTCTTGTAGGATACCAACAGCTCCGGGAGCATCCCTATGCAGTTTTGCAGACCTCCAGAGGGATGTCCCAGTCACACCTCCTTGGAATCCTGCTTGCACTGGTGCTCTGCCTCCAGGTAAGAGTCTTGGTCCTCCTTCTTGTCTGGCTGTTTCAAATCAAATACATAAATACTGGACAGGCCAATCCACCTTTTTTTCTTCTTCTTTTCCTCAGGGAGCTTCTGCCCAGGTTATGGAATATGTATATGAATATGTGTATGAAAGTTGGAAGGCCTACAGTGAAGAATGTCACCGCAATATGAGCCTTTGGCCACCATCTACTGGTGAGACAAGGTCCCCCTTTAGATTGAGTATCAGCTAACAATTTATCTGAACAAGGAAAGTGAGGCAGGGGACAAGCACTGACAGTTCGGCAGAATGTTTACTCATTTTCTTCCAGCTTATTCTGCTGGAATCATATGCTTTTGAAAGCTGGGATCCTATGCTTTTTGGTAACATCATGAGGACTATTATGCAAGAATTTTGGAAACTGTGACATTGGACGAATGGAGAAAGACATCACAGGAATAGTAGAATGTAAATTAATAGATGTCACTTTTTTTTCCTTGGGAGTGATGCATTCATGGTACAGACACACACAAATGGTTTCACGGCTGAGGTTTATGAATGAGGTACAAGGCAGGAACTACCAGGCAGTCATATAGGTATGCACACATGAGTAAAGCAGGAGAAAGGATCTCACAGATATATTTCAGTACAGCTTATTTGAGTCAAGTCAAGTGAAGTCCCCAATAAAGTTTATTGGATAAAACATTTTAGGTCCAGTTGATGTAAGACAAGAGATATAATCATGGAAATAGAATAAAATAGTAAAAATAAGAACCCCCATATCCATCTTTGTACTCTCTTCTCTAGAGTTGGTTTGTAACCGAACGTTCGATAAGTATTCATGCTGGCCTGATGCACAACTCAACAGCACTGTCAGCGTTTCCTGCCCCTGGTTCCTGCCCTGGTATGATCAAGGTACAGTATTAACACTGGGAAGATGATTGGCAATGGACCATATCTTTAGCAGGGAAAATGGACCTTGGTTGTCTAGACAATGTGTGTGGTGATTCTAATGTTGGAAAACTGGGGAGACCCTTTCACTTCCATCTTCAGCCAGGGTAATTGGGATAAACAAACTACTATCCTATCCTGCCTAACACAGGGAAATACCATAAAAAGATATATTGTACTGTATTCTTTTATTATACAGGCCTGAAAGTTAGTAAAACATTCAATGATATATGTCAAACTTTCAGCCTTAGAGATGGTCCTGTATTAGTCAATATGCTTACATATAGTCTATGTTTAATTCACAGTGGAGGAAAAATGAACGATATACGATGCCATTATTATTTAAAGCTATAGAATGTCTTTTTCTAGTTTTTACTGTTGTGTTTATTTAGTTTTTGTTACCTATTATTTGAGATACTTCAATAAAAGTTAATAGATGTAATGTATTCTGTCAGTTTGAAAATATAATTTAAAAGCTTACATGCACTGTGTTTAGGTTCTTAAGGAAAAAAAAGGACATAAAACTAATATAAAATCAGAAATGGTAAGAGAATGCATAAAATAGTCGCCTAATTTTCTGGGGAAGGGTGAGATGAAAGTCAGAGGGTGCTAGAATCTAAATTTAGAACAGACATTAGAGTCAACAATAGATGATTAAAGCTCAGAACAGATAGACGTCCACCATGGAGCCAGATATATTTATGATCATATTCTTCTTTATTCCTGTAGTGAAGCATGGCTATGTATTCAAGAAATGTGGTCCAGATGGACAGTGGGTGACCGGTCCTGGAGGGAAGTCACTGCGCAATGCTGATCAATGTATGATAGACAACAAGAAAGACCAGGTTAGCAGAGAACTAAAGTTCTGCTAATTTCTACAAGATCATCTTTTTCTGGCTTCCAATAGATAAAGGATCTGAATTGATTTTGTGCATCAGACGAACTCTTTTCCTCTTTTTCTTTCCAGGAGTGGTTTGATAGAATCTATGGAAGCTTCAGAGTGATGTACACGGTGGGCTACTCAGTGTCCCTCTGCGCTTTGCTCCTGGCCTTGGCAGTGTTGCTAGGCTTCAGGTGATTTGGAAACTGGATTGGGACTGGAGATGGTGGGGTGGTTGACCCTTGCAGCAGTAGAGGAAAAAGGAAGAAAAAAGAAAATGGGTTGGGTTGGAATGAGATGGATTCCTTCAAAGTGGGACGAGAAAAGAAAGAGGTGGAAATTAGTAGAGCTGGTCATAGATTTACTATTAGTGTCATCAGAGTCAACATCCAGGGTCCCACTCAGCATAATAAGCAAAAGGGGTCCTCAAGCAAAACAGGTATGGATTATCTTACTCTGAAATACACATTATCCTCTATGCAGGGAAAGCCTTGTCTTCATGTCCAACTTCTAAAATTATCTGACTTCATCTGTACTGATTAGAACAGTCTTTCTCAGCTTTGACAACTTTAAGATGTCTGGACTTCAACTGGGAATTGAGGTCCAGACATCTTAAAATTGCCAAGGCTGAGAAAGACTGGATTAAAAGGACGTTTATAACCCTATTCCAGTGATGGCGAACCTTTTAGAGACCGAGTGCCCAAACCGCAACCCAAACCCCACTTACTTATCGCAAAGTGCCAGGGCCGCATCAGCATTGTGGTGCCCTTGGGGGGGCAGGGAGGCGCCTCTAAGTGCCGCCTCTGGCACGCAAAAACCAGGGGTGCAAAAATGGCCACTGCCGTGCTGCGGGGTGCAGATACAAGGTGCTGCACCACGCAAGAATGGGGCAGGGCTAGTGAGTATCACTCAGGCACTACCCCCGCCCCATTTGCAGTGCGTCCGTCCTCACGGCCCCGTGCGCACATGCACGCATGTAAAATGCTTCCCCCTCCCTTTTCTTCCAGTCCACTAATCAACAATGGTTGGTGACCTCTGCTCTACCACCTCTACTCGAGCTTGCTAGTCGACTGCTTTACCTCCTTTTTGCTGGGAAGCCCCGTCCTGCTCCGGGCAGCGGTGGCGGCCTGATGGACCTGCTGCTGGCAGCGGTGGTGCGTGTGCCAACAGAGAGGGCTCTGAGTGCCGCCTCTGGCATGCGTGCCATAGGTTCGCCACCACTGCCCTATTCCATCTCATCCCACTTTGGGCACTACCCAGGGGAAGATCCACTGGAGTAAACACATCTAGCCAATCTGGAGAGACTGGGTTTTCTTCAGAACTGTTAAAGTGAGGGATTACTTTAGAGCAGGGGTGTCGGATGCATCATGCCGAAACTGCACCCACCCCAGCTCCAGCAATGGGGGAAAAGTTGCGATACGTCGCGACACGTCACGTGACATGGCGAGCTTGACACCCCTGCTTTAGAGAGTTGTAGAGAGTGATGAAATTGCAAGAACTGAAAAGCTGGTGAATGGGGTGAGGGCCGGGGTCAAAAGACAGAGAAAGGGAGGAACAGTGGCCCAGTGGGGTAAAGATTTAGGCAGAGTGATACTGTGTGACATGATCCAGATAGACTGGCGTTTTTGACAAGCTCCCTGCTCCCCAGCAAGCTGCACTGCATGCGCAACTACATCCACATGAATCTCTTCGCCTCCTTCATCCTGAAGGGCATCTCAGTGCTCACCATCGACACGCTGCTCCATACTCGCTACAGTGAGAAGGTTGATGACTACAATGTGAGCCTTTGGCAGAGTGACCAGGTAACAGCACCCTCTTTTATAGTCCCTCTTTTATTTTATTTTCTCCTGTTTCCAGCTACATTATAAGGCTTCCAACCCACCCATGCCCACCCATCTATGTACAGATCCAGTAAACCTCATGTCAGGAGTTTCTAAACATTATGATAATGCAGTCCCCTCCAGTGAAAAAAATGAACTTTCCCTTGCCATCGTGAACTAGGATGGACTAGTAATTAATATGTCTAAATAATTTATGTACATATAAATAATTATGTGCTTTTATATGTAGACTTGGTGGGTTCCTCCATATCACTAGAAGTTCTCAGGTTTCAAGTCCTACGCTGGCCCACTGCAGGCTCACATAGTCATAATGGGGAATAAAAGCCTGACTTGAGTTTTTACACTGCTTCTGTCCCTTCAGTTTTTAAATAAATTGTGACACTGTATCTCCCCTCCACACCTCTTGAAAATCCTTATGCCTCTCTGAGAGGTCTCAACCTCCAGTCTAAGCCCATCATTCTGCTATTCTACAGTCCCAGCTCTTCTGTTCCCGTGGCCAAACAATCAAGAACCTTTGAAAAGTTTGGGGATGGTTTAAAATGACTTATGGGAAAAAGCATTTTTAGGTCAGCTGAAACCTATATTCAATTACATTACCGCATAGTTCTACATGTCAATAACCTTCACATAAGGATGTTCTATTGTTCTTCATATATGTCACTGCTCATGATAGGAAACTTGTGAAAGCTCATCCTGGAGCTAGACTTTGATTCAAAGTGAGCCATGATTGGGCTATAACATCTCTGTTCAATGATTCATTGCTTGTATTTCCTACATTTATTAAGTGAGGAACATCTGATCCGCTAGAAGTTTCTGAACTACATTTCCCAGCAGCTCCAGTCAGTAATTCTGCTTTTGCAACATCTGGAAAGTCACACATTACACATTTTCTAATCCTGGATATGGGAAGTAGCATTGTTTGCTCTCATCAAGCAGTTTCTAACAACTTAACAACTGCAATCCACAATTCAAGGAAAGGCTGCTGGTACAGCTCTGTAACTTGTGAACGTGACAAACGAGTTTTTCATCCTTTTCTTTTTCCTCCAAAACTCTCCAGGCTGCCCCACTGCTAGTTTTTAACCATAAACCCATGTTTCTCAGTCTTGGCAACTTTAAAATTCCTCACCCCGTGTGTATGAAGTCCATACATTATAAAATTGCCAAGGTTGAGAAACGCTGTCATAAGGCACCAACATGAAAGCTACATGATTTGGACAAAATGTTCCCCAACCCAGAAATCTGTCATTTAGAGCAACATGTTCTTGGGACTATCCTGACTCCTTTCCTTTCTCTAGGCAGCAGCAGGGTGCCAGGCAGCCACAGTATTCATGCAGTATGGTATTGTGGCCAACTACTGCTGGCTGCTTGTCGAGGGGATTTATCTGTACAACTTGCTGGTATTGACTGTCTTCTCCGAACGCAGCTATTTCACCCTCTACCTCTGCATCGGCTGGGGTGAGTACAGGACAGGGAGTTGAGTGTCAGTAATCACCAGGGCACTGATAACCTCATCCATAGGAGAAGAACACAAGGGAGTCAGCTGTAATATCAGAACAGGAAACAATATAAGTGAAGGTGGAACTAGAGCAGTGATGGTGAACCTTTTAGAGACCGAGTGCCCAAAAACTGGCCCTGCCCCCGTTCCATCCCTGTCCCGCCCCTCTTCCACCCCCCCCATCCCCTTCTCCACCTGCCCGCAGGGCCACTCACCACCTCCAGGGCCCGCGCAGATCGCCTAGGCAGGCCAGCAGCACAATGGCGGTCACGCCCTCTGCCTGCACCCTGCAGCATCAACTGTGCACGATGGGTTATGAGGACAGAGTCTTGTCTATGCTGCCTAGCTGCCATGTCCTTGGCTGCGCTGCTCCGCGTGGGCCACGCTCAGGGGCAACTCTCCTTCAGGGGGGCTGCTAGAGGGAGGTCATGGGGGGAAGCGAGGCTGGAGCAATGGCACATGTGCCCACAGAAAGGGCTCCGAGTGCCGCCTCTGGCACCCGTGCCATAGGTTCGCCACCACTGAACTAGAGCATATGATCACATTCCTTATCTCTGGCATAGGGCAAATGCAACAATTAGGGTTATGAGAATACCAGGATGTGTGGATTTGACCAAGACTGCTTCTTCGGTTTCACTGGCAATTAGGTTTAGATCCAGTGGTATCTTCCTCATTATTGATCATGCCAACTATGACTAATGAGAATTGGAGTTCTGTGATACTTGGAGAACCATACATTGCCAACACCTGAATTAAAGCATATATAATGAGCAAGTCATGAGAAGTTGGATGGTCTCATAGAATCTAGGAAACATGAGGACAAACTAGTTGTGATCCTAATCACACAAGCAGAAATTTTGCATTGGCTTTTAACATGTTAATTACAGGCATGAAGGCTAAGTCAGATCAGGTTTAGGACATGAAGGCTAGGGAGCTTGAGCACTATCTACCTATAAGGATTCCAGTCCAGATGTTATTTGTACTGGGACGAATTCCATTGAAACAGATAAGTATCTGCAAGACTTCAAACAAATTGAATGAGAAAACCCCAGAATTTGATAACTTGCCTCCCTCATGTCTATATTTTAGAAATTACAGTATATCTATATTGGGTGGAATCTAGAACGTTCACTTCTCCTGCACTGATTTTCTGGCTGAGATGAAAAGATGATCCTTTCTTGCATAATTCTGTTCTTTTTCTTCCTCCCAGGAGCCCCAATCCTCTTCATTGTGCCGTGGGTGGTGGTGAAATATCTTTATGAAAATATTCAGTAAGTTACAACAAAAATGCCACAAAAATGCAGTGTCCACACTTGCTGCAGTTTTTCCTGTAGTCCCAGTGTTACCAGGTGCTTTAGGAAGTATCGTACAATGTGTGAGCAGCAGGAAAGTTTGCTGAAGAATAAGAATCTGTACCCATTTTCTTTCTTTCTTCATCTCTCTTCCAGTTGTTGGAGTACCAATAATAACATGGGCTTCTGGTGGATCCTGCGTTTCCCTGTATTCTTAGCCATTTTGGTAAGCCCCCTCCTTTTATTTTATTTTTTTTTCTCCATGCCTTGGGCCTTGGGAGCTAAATGCACTGTTCAAAACTGCATCATTTTCTTCTTTTCAGTTTTTATATGTTCTTTCAACATATAAAATTGTGTACAGTACTTAGTTTTCAACTGTGAAGAAGTTTCACATTTCCCTCCTATCTTTATTTACTTTTTAAAAATTAAGCATCTCAGGATGGCTTCCAATAATCAATCAATCAACAAATACAATATTGTGAAGCTCAAATCACTGTTTATTACAAATAAACAGCTGAAATTTCAAATGTTCCAAAAAAACAGTATAGGCCTTAAAATCCTACTATATTCTAAAACTCTTCTTTCAGGGTGGAAAAAAAAAGCCTATTTAAAAAAATATCCCCTATCTTGTGCCATAATTTCTCTAAGGGAGAGATAAGATGAGCCATAGTCTGCTATATGCATGTGGCCCACATTGACCTTAATATCTGTGTATAACAATAATAATGCCCAGTAAAGAAGAAAACATAAGCAGTATCCTGATAGAATGAACCCCTGGCCCATCTATAGTCCTCGGCTTATAGCCATTCATTTAGCAACCCTCCAAAGTTACAACAGTAGTGAAAAAACTGACTTGCAACTGGTCCTCATGCTTATGATTGTCAGGGGCCACATGCTGACATTTGTAAAGCACTCAGAGAATGCCGTAAAGCACTAGGGAGAAGTTTATGTCTAAATGCTATTGTTATTGGTGTTGGGACCATTGCAGCATCTCCACAATCATGTAATCACAATTCTGGCACCTGGCAACCATCACGTACTTACGCTGGTTGAAGCATCCTGGGATCATGGGATCACGGTTTGCAACCTTCCCAGCCAGCTCCCAACAAGCAAAGTCAACAGGGGACGCAGGTTTGCTTAATGACTGCACGGTTTCACTTCCAAACTGCAGCGATTTGCTTAATAATCAGCGCAAAATCAGACGTGATTCATTTAACCATCGCCTTGCTTAGCAATGGAAATTGAGTTGAGGACTGTCTGTGGTCCTGCAGTCTCTTCTCACAGACTTTTCTGCACAAGGAAGCTCACTGGTTTTGCAGCAGATGACCTTCAGAGGGAGCCACACTGCCCTCAAGGCTAATAGCCATCGGTCCCATCACTCCCATGAATCAGTCCAATACTTATTTGAAACCAGCCCAGGTGATAGCCAGCTCCACATCTCATGGTAGCAAATTCCAAAGCTGAATTGGCTGCATTTCTCGTGCCAGCAGAATGATTTGCATAAAGGCAGTCCTTCAAGTAACCTCTCCTTTTTTTTTTTTTTTGTCCTATTTATATATTGTATGCTAGATTTGTGGGTTTTATTCTATTCATTTTGATCATATAGTCTTCGAATGTTCAGTTGCAATCAAATTAATTTTCATGCGAAGCAGGCTTTTTCTCGTTTTATTTTCTGTGTATAATAATAGTGCCCAGTGTACATATAAGGATGTATATTTGGCAGTGGGGTGGGGAATTACTTGATCCCAATTGTTTACTAGTAAAGAGAATAGTACTAGGACTGGATAACATTTTGGATTAGAACGGAAGAATGCTTTGGAGGGGAAGTGCTCATATAAAGGCCTGTCAGCTATTCCGTTAAATGGATGAATAACCCAACTGCCCTCCATAGCTGCAGTGTGATCCTGCAAAAAGATAGTGTTTTAAGATACTTTGGTTTAAGAGGAGAGCAGCTCTGCACACTTCAAAATGCTATAGAACCCTAATTGAAACCAGTTAGAAAACATAATCCGTGCTCCTGGAACTATACTGTGGTCTGAGCACCAGTCCTTATTCACATTTGAGTGAGCATTTACATGTAGCAGCTGGAGATTTTGCCTTGTCTGATGTGATAATGTAACAAGAGTTATTAAGAGTTATTATCATCTTATGAAGAGCTACACTAGCACACAACTTGTTTTTGAAAAAATACCAGAGGTTCTCCAGTAATGAACATACCGGTACATTTTCTTTCTGTGAATCGCAGAATTCAGTGTTTCTATAGCACTTTTCTTAAATGCTTAAGTCCCAACATATGATTAATAAAATACTTCTGCCTGCCATTCTGTCTACCTATAAATGGCCAGTGGTCATGTGAAATGTTTTCTCTAGGGAATCTTATAGCACTAATTAAGGCTAGAATTGGTCAGTATCAGGACAGAAGCTACAAAACAGTCACTGGAAATTTGGGAAGAGTGAGAACTTAAATCAAAATGATAACACTATTCAAGAATCCTCTCGATCTTTACTGTGCACGGTTCTCTGGCCAACTCATGTAATGCTATCCCTTCCTGCCACTCAGTCACGTTGCTTCTTTTTCTTTCTTTCAGATTAATTTCTTCATTTTCATCCGTATAATTCAGATTTTGGTCTCTAAGCTCCGTGCCCACCAGATGCGATACACAGACTACAAGTTTCGGTATTGGCTCTTGGCAATTTCCCCAAATGGCATACGCTTCTTGGGAAAAGAACATTCTTTTTCACCCTCCCTACGACCTCCTTGGCTTTCTATGTCAGGGCAGTCCTCTCTACTGGGTAGGATTTGGGGTCAGCACCATGATCTATAGGTTTCTAAAATAATCATCAATACATTAAAGATTATAGCCCTTGCCAACTTTTGATGTGACTCCCCATAAAAGTTTACTCTGAGCGTAAACTTGCATGTAAAAATGTTTAATATGACAAAAAAGAAGAAACTATTAAATGCATGAGAAGCAATCACAATAACTGTACTAAATTCACATCATGTCAAATTCAAATTCCGTTTTGGATCTGCCTAGTTTCTGGAGTGCAGTTGCTGATGCACTTCAATAAGACTGAGTGTAGTGCTTGTCCCCCACCCCAGAAGATGGGCCTCTTCCCTACATATCTGATTAACTGTTTTTCCTTGTGATGAGGCCTAATCACCTACTGTTCATTTAGGCTGGCAAAATCAACCCTGACTCTGATTCCCTTGCTGGGCATCCATGAGATGGTTTTTGCCTTCGTCGTTGATGAGCATGCCCAGGGCACGCTGCGCTTCGTCAAGCTGTTCTTTGACCTCTTTCTTGGCTCTTTTCAGGTGAGACACATGAACTGTACTAATACTCAAGCTCTTCCAAAACCTATAGTAGAGCCATATCTTCCATATAATTTTATTATTGGAAATTATTATTACAATGTTGGTAATTACCCTTCTGTATCCCCTAGGGAATGCTGGTGGCCATTCTCTACTGCTTTGTGAACAAAGAGGTGAGTCTTCAAATATAGGACACAGGCTTTGCCCCTTGTGGTTAAATTATGAGAGGTCCAGAATTTCAAGCTGCAATCATTTGAATGGTGGTGGAGTTACGTACAATGTCCTTTTGAATTTCAGTGGTCTACTCATCAATTAAAAGGGCAGCCATAGCTATAACGTTCAGTTCACAATCCACAGAACTGTATTTTAGTAGTCAAAGCATACCTACAGTTTTTGGTGGAAATATAGCTGGAATATTACTAGATTTGGGTAAATCTAACATAGTTTTTGGATTTAAAATGCTAGCTGTAGTTGTAGGTGCCTTACATATCAAATCATTTGAAGTCATTTTTTTCATTTGCAAGATCCAGTGTCCTTTTCCCCTTTTACACGTCCATACTCTGTCATATGCTGCAGACAGAGGAGCAGGGCTGTACAAGGAAATCAGGATGCTACAAATAATGGTACCAAAAAGGCAACAAAGTCAACTTTTTGCTGCTGTGTCCTCCCTATAGGTACAGTCAGAACTCACCAAAAAATGGACACGCTGGAAAATTGGTCGGGACATAGAAGAAGAGTATAAACACACATACAGCAACACCCCCCATGCACGTAATGGGAGGAGCAGCAGCACCACCTGTGAGAAGCACAAACTTGTTGGCAACTACCTCAATGGTCTGAGCTGCAGTCAAGCAACTGTACATACCAGCACTCAATATCTGGAGAGGACCCACTGCAGCATCAGTGAAAATCTAGCTGTGAATGAACTACCTCCTTGCTATGAATTTCCTGACATGAGGGGAGAGAGCAACTTCTGAAGCAGTTCAGTCCATTGCTTCCAGCAGACTGGGCCCATTGATTCATAAGACAGCCATATTGCAGAGCAAGGATGGCAGAGCTGAAAGCCCAGGAGACACTGAGTGGGGCGTGTGGTTGGAAGCTGACTAGCTGCCTGAACTGATACCTCAGTGTCTGATTGTGCTCTCTCTGAGATAGGTTGGCATATCCTGATGAGACTCATGTCCTTCTCATCTGCATTCATAGTATTCCATGGGTGGACTCCACTGTAGGTGAGCAAAAAAGAACAAGTCAGTGATAGCCCAGTTATGTGTCTGGGAGAGTTATAGGCTAAAGGTTGGAGATGACATTAAGTAGATTTTGGATGGAAAGAGAATCTGCTAGGAGGTCTGAAAGTCTACAGTTTAGGAATGCACATTGATTAGTGCTGATCAAACTGAGAATCTCAGTTTCTGGCTCTTGGCTTTTATAAAGAACAAGCTGAAAATGCATCAGCAGTATTTGCTAAAAAGATAAACAAATGGAGCAGAAGGGGCTGTGCAATTTTTTAAAAAATTAGTCATAAGGGAGTGTATATTCAGAGTTATGGCCTATTCCCTAACCTGCTATATCCCGATGGAAAATTCTGCCAAAAAGCTCTTGAAACCAAGTCATCAGCAAAACATACAAAGTTATATAATTGTTCAATGTAGCTAAATATTTTATTTCCAAGTTTAGTAATTGCAGAATTTGGGTTTGAGCACAAGATTTCCAGATTCCTTCTTGAGAATCTTTTTGCCTCTGGAATGGTAGTACCTTAGTTAATAAGGGTCATGCTTCTTGAAGAAGGTCTGGTATTCAACAGAGGTGGTGTCCATCTGGAGATTAGGGGCATAACGTGTCCTCCTGAACATCTGGGTGACTTCAGGAAGCCACTTAGTAATGCTGTAATGTCTCCCTTAATTGGAGGTTAGAAATGAGAGTTGGAGGATTCTGGGCAGTAAAATGCTGTCATCCTACACTTAACCACAACCACAGTCCACAACTGCCTGATCATAAATTTGGCCATTTTGCTGTGAGCTGCCCACCTGGGTTATCAGGTAACTTGCACATTGTTTTGTGGTAGGTGACCGTATAGTACCAAAAATGCTGCCTGTGATCTTAAGTGTGCAGCAATAGTAGTGCTTACTCCAGAGTAAAGATGTATTGATCATCTTTATGGCTGTGCTGTTACATCTGTGCTGTGGAAACACTTACTCCATTTGTTCCCAGGATGATTCTGTCCTGAATGATTCTGTCAATTGATTTTTGCTGAAGTCTGTGATGCCAGTGCCAATGTTCTGGAGATCAAACCCTCAATAAATGGTGTTACGTGTCTTGGCCATTTGGACAGTTCCTCCTGATGCACATCACAGCTCATCTTACGTAAGGACTGGCCTACACTACAGTTACTAACATGGACAGGAACAGATGTCCTGCACTGGTCACATTCATCAGAAGTATTAAATTTCATAGGAAAGCTAAATTAGAACCATTGCAACAGACAGGTAATTATTGCCCTCTATGATTATGCAATGTCTCTTTCAAAGCGTAAGATTCTGTCCTCCCCAGAATAGGCCTGGAAGAATTCCTCTGGCATTTCCAGGGGCATTGAAACATTCTGATCCAGACATCTCTAAGAAGACATACAGAGATTATCTGCATTAGTCATGGAGCACTTCACCACAGTCTCTCTCTCTCTCTCTCTCTCTCTCTCTCTCTCTCTCTCTCTCTCTCTCTCAATATGTTATTTTTAAAATTGATATGTGCATGAAAATGTTACTTCTGAGCATGAACCACCACAGAATAACTTCATGCATGCCTATTCTTATGATGTTCCCTTAAAATCCTTTGACTGTAACACAGAATGAATAAAACAGAAGTTTCTGAAGCTGAGTTGCCACAGCTCAGCAAACTATTTAGTGACTCTGTGTATAGGGGGGAAAAGGCTCAGGTAGTTTAAGGTTCAGTGTGTTGTGTGAATCTACGGTATTGGGATAATTCCATAAATCAAAGCTAACTTAACCATGGCTGAATGTGTTGTTTAAATTCAAGACTTCAAATGATACCTCAAACTTTCCATCATCTACTTTTCTTCCTATTACTCCCAGCTGTTTTTTTTACTGTATTCACCTGACCCAAATTCTCATGCCTTGGATGAGATAGTTTCCTGTCACAGACTTGCTGGTCACTCTTAGGAAAAGCAATTCTCTCTGTTGCTAGTAAATAGTTCCAGCAATCTCCATTACAGACATTATTAAGCCCATGTTAGCAGAAGTAGCAGTTTCATAGAGGGGAAAGCTTCCGATTATTAGCTATGCGAGACTTTCAGTAATGGAAGTAGTAGGACTTGTGATGCTCATTGCTGGAGGACATGAATGGGAAATGCCACTGTGCTAATGTTCTATTCGTGGAATCCCCAATTGCACCTGATAGGAACATTGAACCAAATAGGACTTTGTATCACATCTTATCTACAAGTCTTCTCACAGCAGGGGAAGAAAATTATTGGGAAAAACAAGGGAAGCATTGGAGCAACAAGGAAAAGGAGAATCACATCTACATACATGGAATTATCTTGGAAAGGAAGGGCTGTGTTCCATTCCAGGTCATACATGTACTGTCTGACTTTGGCGAAATTACTTTCAGCTTCTGTTTCTCAGCTATGTTGAGAATAACAAGAGTGCTTGCAGAGCTGTTTCAGTTCTTTGAAAGATAGATGTAGGCTCTGCAAAAGAAAAACAATTGGTTGAACCTAGAGAAAGCCCTTTGCACTGCATGTGGTTTCATGGAAGCACAATTTAACTCATTAATTGGCAAACATGATCATGAAGCTATAGAAAATTAATGAAAAAGGGGAAAAAATTGAGTGATCGACCTTTACACTGCATCCAATCTCCTTACGCCACTTTGACACTTGTCAGTCAAATCCTTTTTCTGCCTGAGTCTATAACTCTATCCAATGATTGTTTTAGGAATGCAACAAAGAGTTTTAATACTTGAACCAGGAGGAAAAGCTGATCTAGTAAATGCACCAGTTTTGTAGAGGCCACTGTGCCGTTATATAATATGACCCAATCATGCTAGAAATGCTCAGAGTAGGATCTGCAATCTAAAATATCAGATGATCATATAGGTTGGTTGGCTCATATTGCACTTGTCCATGTGTGAAATGATCAAGCCTGTCTCAGTTCCCCACAATTTTCTTGCAGATCCTTTATCTACTTGGTCCCCCCACCATAAGTAAATTTTTCCCAACATTCCAGATGTGCTACCAATAATTTTCATTATCTCTAGCAAGCACAATTCCTGTGACAGCCGAAACTATGACAGTTGCAAATCCAGAATATTTTGAGGTTACCAGATTGGAGGTAATTGCCTCAAAGAAAATATTAGCAGGCTGAGGAAAGAGAAGTGAAAAAGAAGTAGCTGAAGGTCATCTCCAGTTTCCCCTTTAGGACTGTGACAGGTCATTAGTTTGATTTCATTTGATTTCAGCTTCTGTCTCAATATGTAGCCAGAGGCTATTGCTTTGAGTTCAGCATTGCTTCTTGAATAAACTAAGGTGAATGGTGAATGGCTAAAATCAATTCTGAGGCTACATTTTCAGCTGTGACCTTTCTGCTTGGTAAAGCCTCTTCTAACAATATGGTGTTTTTCCCAACTATATAAGAGATGGAGACTACAAGTCTAGAGACTAAAAGGGAAAGTTTAATGCAAAATAAGGAGGAAGGAAAAAACAAAGCAGGGCTGTTTACCATAAAGTTATTGTTTCCCTACCTGCTAACACCCTTTAATGTCAAGGGCAATGAAAGGTGAGCTCAGAGGCCACAGCAGCCTTTGATAAGTAGGTGCACAGTCAGAGCTGCTGTGTATTCCTCTCCCCAAGGGAGCTGCTGCCTTCACCAGACGCCTGGGGGCAGAGATAATGAGCCTAATCGAAGCAAATTGCTGGAACACAAAGGCACTTTATGAGAAGGTAAATATGGTTGATGAGCCACGCATATGACGTGTGTCTTTCTAACACAGATACCTCTCTCTTTTTATTTCTCAGTAGCAAAATACACACGCGTGCACCTGTCCTCTGAAAGAGATTTTGCTCTTCTCACTACCCTGGTACTCTATTCCATTTACTCTGTTCCACCCCCCAAAAAAAATTCCTTCCATCAAACTAAAATAACCCCTAGTTTCAGTCTTCATTCCTTACTAGTTACGGGTCTATGTCTTTGGAAAGTTAACATTCCTCATGTCAGTGGCCTTAAGGAACATGATGGTGCTCAGAATCTGTATGTATCAAAAATAATAGCTGTTGTTTAATGTTCCAGCTCTACTCAACTTACAGACATCGATGAATCATTAAATTTAATGAAGAAGGTAGATTAAAAAAAACACAGATCATTGGAATCATTTGTTTTTCCATATGATTATCTTAAAAAAATGTTCTGTGTTCATATAAACTTAAGACATGAGATTTGCCTGTCTTCTCCAATCCATCTGCCTGCCTGCCTTCCATGAGCAATGCCACTGTCACAAATCCAGTCATTTTTGTAACTTGTAACCAAAGATTGCTTCTGTTGGTGCAGAGAAATGGGGCTAGTACAGGGGACTTGTGGTTATAAATGTTCACTCCTACATGAGCAGAAACCTGCTGATCAGTAATTGCCTATTTGGCAAATAAATGATCACATCACCTCATACCATCACTGTCACTTACAAGCCCATCTCCACAGGGGGCACTCTATTATCTCCAGAGTCTATTACTCATGTGCTGGGATGTGTATGTGTGCAACCACATAATGATGCATCTGAAAAATGCTTCCTCTCCAAGATCACAGACTGCTCACCTATGCTTATTCACAATTAATTTGTGTAGATTTTGAATGATGGCGATAAGGCCAGAATAGCAATAGCAATAACATTTAGACTTATATATTGCCCCATAGTGCTTTACAGCAGTCTCTGGGTGGTTTACAATGTCAGCCGATTGCCCCCAACAATCTGGCTCCTCATTTTACCGACCTCGGAAGGATGGAAGGCTGAATCAACCTTGAGTTGGTCAGGATCGAACTCCTGGTGCATGTGCAAAGTTAGCCTGCAATACTGCATTCTAACCAATTCACCACCACGGCTCAGTAGAGTCAGGATGATGGGGTAAAGTAGTTAAAACTGGGTATTCCGACTTGATGTAAGAGAAGGAGAGATCGAACCTGGAGGACAAAGTCAACAGAAGAATCAGCCTGGAGTCATTACATTCCCACAAGCAGTTTAAGTTCAACCCTTCTTGAATTCTGTTAACTCTTATCTAGCACCAATTTAGTGTTGACTTTAGTTGACTAGATTCTTACATATAGGCATGGGTAATAAATCTGTTTAGCTGGAGCTTATCATGTCCTGATTCTTTGCATCTGGCAGTTTATGGGGTATAGAAAGTGACCCCAGCTTCCATCCTTTCTTAAAGAACTTTTGAGTCACAATCATGATACTTTGATTAAAACTGCATATCATGTCCTTTCCTTAAAATGGTTCAAGCAACATAGCAAAGAGGTGGGACAATATGAGCCCTGGATGCATGATCGCTGCCAAACTGGCATGGCTACCATAAGATTAAGGATCTAGAGATCAGTCATAGACAATGGCAC